TACTTTAATGTCCTTAAGATCCAATGGTATTTCATTTAACACATTACAAAAATAGACTTCATTGTTGATATTGCTTAACAGATTAGTTTCGTGAATTTCCGTCTCACTCTCTTTCTCTCCACTAAACATACGTGATAACGCATCAGCTATTATATTCTCAGAACCTTTTACATGTTCAACTGTGAATGGAAGACTAAACAACCTTTTAAACCATCTAGACAATCTTCCACGGCTTTTTCGAGATTTGAGCATGAAACTAAGACCTTGACAATCAGTAACTAATTTAAAACTTCTTACTTCCAAGAATTGATGCCATTTCTCTACACACAATATTACACTATAAGCTTCCTTTTCGTAAGTGCTATAACGCATCTCAGTAGGTGTGAATTTCTTCGAATAGTAAGCAATAGGCATTAAATTCCCCTCCTCATTTCTTTGCAATAAAACACCAGCAGCTGCAAGGTCGCTTGCGTCGGTATGCAACTCGAATTCTTTAGAAAAATCGGCCATTTGTAGTATAGGCGGATTTGCTATCTTACTCTTTAAGGTTTCAAATGCATTTTGACACTCCTCGTTCCATTTAAATTTTACACCTTTCTTCTTCAGCCCAAACAGAGGTAAACATATTTCAGCATATTTAGGAATATATCTAGACCAATAACCACACATTCCTATAAACTGTCGCACTTGCCTCACAGTTTTTGGAGCAGGAAATTTCATTAATGAGTTAGTTCGCTCGGGATCTATTGTGATGCTATCTTGTTTAATAATATGTCCTAAAAAACTTATTTCCTTACAAAAGAATTTGACTTTTAGTGGATTTACCGTAAGTCCGTGTTTTGCTAATCTCTTAATCACTTCTGTAACGTGCTCAATATGGTTTCTCTTATCAGGGCTATATACAACTATATCGTCACAAAAGTTAATCATATACTGAAATTTGATGTCATTAAATATTTTGTCCAAATAATGTGATAGTACGCTACTGCCTATTTTCAATCCAAATGGAATTCTCTTCATACGGAATTTACCAAAAATTGTACTAAAAGATGTTAAATCTCTGGATTCTAAAGCTATGGGACATTGTAAAAATGCTTTGTTTAAATCTATGACTGTAAAATATCTAGCTCCTTTTAGATGCTGATACATATTCTGCATATCTCCTAGCGGGTAATCTACATTGATTAACTTCTTATTAAGTTCAGAGTAGTTAATTACAAGTCTGTCATCTTGAGTCAAAAATGCAGGGGCGCTATACGGACTAGTGGAAACTTCCGCAACATCTTGTTTTATCCAGTCATCAATTATAGCTTTCATCTTCTCTACTTTGGGTGGACTTAAAAAATAAGGGCGTATACTAACAGGTTTATCATCCGTCACTTTAAGCTCAATTTCCAAATCAAGTGCTGATCCTATCTTATCCGTAAAAACAGTAGGAAAATTCTTAATTAACTTCTCAGCTTCTTCACACATTTCAACATCTCCTACTTTAATACTACTTAAGCTTAATTCACTCAGGTTTGTACTTGGAATTAACTTAATTTCATCTTCAGGTTTAAATGTAAAATAACCCATTTGTCGATCCATATTTAGGTTTAACTTGCTTGCACACATAAAAGGGTATCCTAAAATCATGTCAAAATATTTTAACTCAACCACTAAAAATGTTTGTTTCCAGGTAAATGATTTTATCTTAATCAAACTTTCACATTGCTTATTTATGTTCAAAGGTTCATTGTTTGCAGCAACTATGGTTCCCTGCCAAGTATTTTCACTCATAATTAATTTATTTCCCAATAATCTGTTGTATAAATCCAAGCTTATAAAGTTTTGACTAGCTCCAGTGTCTAACAAAGCTCCCACACTTAATTTGTTTCCTAAATCCACAGAAATACAGGGTAAATGTGTTACAGTTTTAGCTTTTACTTTCTTTAATCCAGGTGAATTTATTTTATTAAAATCCTTAACAACTCTTCTCAGTTCAGACTTAAAATTGGGACTATGAGAACTATATACAGGTTTATTATTTCCGAATTCTTTCTTGCCGTCCGGAAAAACAGATTTGTAGTCTAGGCTACGTGTTTTTCCTGGCTTAACTAGTTTTTTGGATCTGGTCTGTAACAATTACGAGCAATATGACCTACTCTTTGACATTTGAAACAAACAGGCCTCTCATTGTTACGATTTGAGTAGTGACTTTTAGGTCGTTGAACTCCTGGGTTAGGTTTATCCATCCTAGGCTTATCATCAGTTGATAGATAAGGCTTGCTAACACTACTATTACTAACTGGAAAACCTTGATTTCTGAGGTAATCATTGTATGTTACATTATTTAAACTTATACAAAGATGATCTAAGTCTAAAAATGTTTCAGGGTTCTGCTCAAATATTAGTTTGTTGCGCAAATCAGGATGTATTCCATTCTTAATAAAACTAACAAGTTGACTCTCAGTTAAATCACACTTTAATACCTGGTGGTTTATTTTTATTTCATGCACATATATAGACAAAGGTTCAAGGTGTTTTTGAGGTCGAAAAATTAAATCTTGTTTCAGCTTTTCCCTTAAGGTGATAGGCAAAAATGTTGTGATTATATTAGCATGCAACAAATCAATTGATTTTGATTCCCTTTTGAATTCTAATATTTTATTCACTAATGGTGCTGTAGAATAAATTGGTAGAATCTCATACAAATCTTGCTCAGATAAAGAAGTTTCATTACGGACAGTAACTAGGTTTCTCAAAAACTGCAACAATGTGTTTGTTTCTAAACCATTACACACAGGAAAATTTTTTAAATAAATTTCCAATGGGTTTGACAACTTTGTAAAAAGGCTACTAGGACTTAGGCTACTATTTACAACTGTACATGAGTTTGGTTGATTATTTATGACTTGACCCGGCACATTTTGTTGAAAACAATCCATTTCTACTTTTTGAGGTGTTGATGAAGTGAAGTTTTCAGTTGGTGGAACTACCGATTTAGACTGATTTAATTTTTCCCCAATTATTTCATTCTCAACTATAGAGTTATTCAGCTCCTCTTCAAAATCCCCCATCTCCTGGTCTGAGAAGGTATGCATTGTTTTAAATTGCTCAAAACTATTTAAGATTTGCTGATTTAATTTGTCTAAACTAACTTTCTTATCTGGATCCAGCTTACATTGTAATAGATTAGTAGTCCGGTTTTGTACATGCACTAGTTTAGCCTTGATTTTAGCTATTTTGAGTTTAGTCACATTTTCCCTACACTGTTCAATTAGAGAATCAATTTGTTCACACTTTTCCCCAATTATAGTTATTTCCCCAGATAAAGTGTATGAACCTTTTAAATTTGTTAAATCGGTATTCTGGTTAATACAAGATCTTAAAGTTTTTCTTAAAGAGTCTACATCACTATCACTCGTTTCTTCCCCTCTTATTCTTATCTCGTACAGAAGTTCTTCTTTGTTTAGATAATTTAAATTGTATTTTGACATGTTGAAAATTTTCAGCCTCTACTTGTTTGCTGTAATTCTTCTAACGTAGGCATAATCCTCAATAATCATGTAGGCCTATGTATTTCTCACTTTTACCAGCTTCTAATTTTAAATGATTCAAGCAGAGTGGCGCACTTGTATACCCCTACCTTGTAGCCAATTAGGTAGTATACTTTAATTTAGGATGAATCTAATTTAAGCTGGTAGTAGAAGTGAGATAAATTAAAAGACAAAGTAGGCCAAAGATGCATTTATTTTACGGATGTCAAATTTCTCAAAATACACTTTCCAAATGAAATTAAATATCCAGTTGTTACTTCCAAAAATTATACTAAATATTAAAATAGTGGAAAGATCTTACTTTAAACAGAGACACTGGAAATATGGTCATCTAAGTTGTGGTTGCTGTAGAAAATTACAGAAATCAACCACTTCTTGGTACTACCACTTCTTGTTCACCTTCTTATGATTGGTCCATTAGCTTTTTGCACCACTTCTAGTTTGCATGGTATCTGCTAGTGCCTGTTCTGACCATTAAACCAGTGTCTCTGTTTAAAGTAAGATCTTTCCACTATTTTATTATTTAGTATAATTTTTGGAAGTAACAACTGGATATTTAATTTCATTTGGAAAGTGTATTTTGAGAAATTTGACATCCGTAAAATAAATGCATCTTTGGCCTACTTTGTCTTTTAATTTATCTCACTTCTACTACCAGCTTAAATTAGATTCATCCTAAATTAAAGTATACTACCTAATTGGCTACAAGGTAGGGGTATACAAGATTTTTTTTTTTTTTTTTTTTTTTTTTTTTGTTTGAAAATGTGTTTAATTTGTTATGAGTTAAAACTGAAAGTTACAGCCACTAACTAAAGTAATCAACTAATACATAAATACAGCTACACACTTGACATAAATTATGGATTAAATGTACATGAAATACAGTTTGTGACAATGGTCGTGTCATGTTACTAAAATATATTTATTTTCTAGGACAATTTTAATGATTGATTAAAATTATAATTATAATACAAAAACTATCACCAATGTTCTTATAAACAGAGAGAAAATTACTAAGAACCTAAGTGCTTAAACAATATTGTGATAAAAAAATATGTTTAGAATTCATTTTCTAATAGACGGTTTAAATTTTTTGAATCCACAAAAAATACTCTGTGTTATCTGGGCTTGCCTCCATTATCATAAAATATGGAGTAATGTTGAAACACACACATGATAAGCGTAACTTTACGCATAGCTCTTCAACACAAAATTACACATACTGCTACAAAACAAATATAAAAATAACCCACCCTTCAGCTTCAAATTAAAGAGAAAACTACAGTTAACACTATCTATTGAGTATCTGAATGCAAGTGTACTTATACAGTTTCATGATATAAAATGGATTTATCGTAAAACTATTCAACATAAACATGCGAGTGAACCGTTTTGCTTCTTAGTTCTTCGTAGCTAACTTTGGAAGATATTGATACTTTGTTCCTTGTTCCATCACTCATGTTAATACATGGGGAGGCGGCTTCCTCCTCTGCCAATCGGCGAACGACTCCTGAATCTGTCCCTTGCACCATAGCCGCCGCCGTAATCATCTGTACCGCCGACTTCCCTTCCGGCGAACCTGCCTCCAGGGGCAGCTCCAGGCCGACGAATGTCTCCGTTGCCATAACCCCCCCTTCCGCCACCTCCGAACCTATCTCCGGCTCCATAGTCAGCCCTAGCTGGTGGTCCTGAGAAATCTCTTGGGGCAGCCAAATCTCTTGGTGGTTCGAAATCTCTTACTGCGTCTCTCCTCATCCCGATATCTCTGGTTCCACCGTAATCTCTCGGAGGCGCAGCACCCCTAGCTGCATAATCTCTGGCTGCTTCGACATCACGGACTGGAGGAATATCCCTGGCAGGATAATCCTGACTCGCTCCTAAATCTCTACCAGCAGGGTACGCTCTACGTGGGGGTCCGTCCACAGGGGGCAAGTCACGAGGTGCACCATAATTACGCCCTCCATTCATGTCTCTTTCACCTCCAAAGTCCCTTGCACCAAAATCTCTTCCATCTCTACCACCCATGTAATCTCTATCCGGAACATCCCTTGGAGGATACAAGGTACAGGTTGTACAAATGTGTACAAGGGTGTACAAATGTGTACAAGGATGTAAAAGTTTATACAAGTGTGTACAAGTTTGTACAAAGTTGTTTAAGTGTGTACAATGTTTTACAATTGTGTACAAGGTTGTACAAGTGTGTACAAGGTTGTACAAGTGTGTACAAGGATGTACAAGTGTGTACAAGGTTGTACAAGTGTGTACAAGTTTGTACAAGTGTGTACAAGGGTTTACAAGGTTCTACAAATGTGTACAAGGTTGTACAAAAGTGTACAAGGGTGCACAAGTTTGTACAAGTGTGTACAAGTGTGTACAAGGGTGTACAGGTTTGTACAAGGTTGTACAAGTGTGTACAAGCTTGAACAAGTGTGTACAAGGTTGTACAAGTGTTTACAAGGTTGTACAAGTGTGTACAAGGTTGCACAAGTGTGTACAAGGTTGCACAAGTGTGTACAAGAGTGTACAAGTGTGTACAAGAGTGTACAATCGTGTACAAGCTTGTACAAGTGTGTACAAGGGTGTACAGGTTTGTACAAGGTTGTACAAGTGTGTACAAGGTTTTACAATTGTGTACAAGGTTGTACAAGTGTGTACAAGGTTGTACAAGTGTGTACAAGGTTGTACAAGTGTGTACAAGCTTGTACAAGTGTGTACAAGGTTGTACAAGTGTGTACATGGTTGTTCAAGTGTGTACATGTTTGTACAAGTGTGTTTAAGTTTGTACAAGGTTGTACAAATGTGTACAAGGGTGTACAAAAGTGTACAAGTGTGCACAAGTTTGTACAAGGGTGTACAAGTGTGTACAAGCTTGTACAAGTGTGTACAATGGTGTACAGGTTTGTACTAGGTTGTACAAATGTGTACAAGGATGTACAAGTATGTACAAGAATGTACAATTTTGTACAAGTGTGTACAAGTTTGTAAAAGGTTGTACAAGTGTGTACAAGGGTGAACAAGTGTGTACAAGGTTGTACAAGTGTGTACAAGCTTGTACAAGTGTGTACAAGCTTGTACAAGTGTGTACAAGGGTGTACAAGTGTGTACAAGGTTGTACAAGTTTTTACAAGGTTGTACAAGTGTGTACAAGGTTGTACAAGTGTGTACAAGGTTGTACAAGTGTGTACAAGGTTGTACAAGGTTGTACAATTGTGTACAAGGTTGTACAAGTGTGTACAAGGTTGTACAAGTGTGTACAAGGTTGTACAAGTGTGTACAAGGGTGTACAAGTTTGTAAAAGTGTGTACAAGGTTGTACAAGTGTGTACAAGGGTGTACAAGTTTGTACAAGTGTGTACAAGTTTGTACAATTGTGTACAAGTTTGTACAAGGTTGTAAAAATGTATACAAGGGTGCACAAGTGTGTACAAGGGTGTACAATCGTGTACAAGCTTGTACAAGTGTGTACAAGGGTGTACAGGTTTGTACAAGGTTGTACAAGTGTGTACAAGGTTGTACAAGTGTGTACAAGGGTGTACAAGTTTGTACAAGTGTGTACAAGTTTGTACAATTGTGTACAAGTTTGTACAAGGTTGTACAAATGTATACAAGGGTGTACAAAAGTGTACAAGGGTGCACAAGTTTGTACAAGGGTGTACAAGTGTGTACAAGCTTGTACAAGTGTGTACAAGCTTGTACAAGTGTGTACAAGGGTGTACAGGTTTGTACAAGGTTGTACAAGTGTTTACAAGGGTGTACAAGTATGCACAAGAATGTACAAGTTTGTACAAGTGTGTACAAGTTTGTAAAAGGTTGTACAAGTGTATACAAGGGTGTACAAGTGTGTACAAGGGTGCACAAGTGTGTACAAGGGTGTACAATCTTGTACAAGCTTGTACAAGTGTGTACAAGGGTGTACAGGTTTGTACAAGGTTGTACAAGTGTGTACAAGGGTGTACAAATGTGTACAAGGATGTAAAAGTTTGTACAAGTGTGTACAAGTTTGTACAAGGTTGTACAAGTAAGTACAAGTTTGTACAAGAATGTACAAGTGTGTACAAGGTTTTACAATTGTGTAAAAGGTTGTACAAGTGTGTACAAGGTTGTACAAGTGTGTACAAGGTTTTACAAGTGTGTACGAGGTTGTACAAGTGTGTACAAGTTTGTACAAGTGTGTACAAGGTTGTACAAGTGTGTACAAGGTTGTACAAGTGTGTACAAGGTTGTACAAGTGTGTACAAGGTTGTACAAGTGTGTACAAGGGTGCACAAGTGTGTACAAGGGTGTACAATCGTGTACATGCTTTAACAAGTTTTTACAAGGTTGTACAAGTGTGTACAAGGTTGTACAAGTGTGTACAAGGTTGTACAAACGTGTACAAGGTTGTACAAGTGTGTACAAGGTTGTACAAGTGTGTACAAGGTTTTATAAGTGTGTACAAAGGTGTACAAGTGTGTACAAGGTTGTACAAGTGTGTACAAGGTTGTACAAGTGACTACATGGTTGTACAAGGTTGTACAATTGTGTACAAGGTTGTACAAGTGTGTACAAGGTTGTACAAGTGTGTACAAGGGTGTACAAGTTTGTACAAGTGTGTACAAGTTTGTACAAGTGTGTACAAGTTTGTACAAGGTTGTACCAATGTATACAAGGGTGTACAAAAGTGTACAAGGGTGCACAAGTTTGTACAAGGGTGTACAAGTGTGTACAAGCTTGTACAAGTGTGTACAAGCTTGTACAAGTGTGTACAAGCTTGTACAAGTGTGTACAAGGGTGTACAGGTTTGTACAAGGTTGTACAAGTGTTTACAAGGATGTACAAAAGAATGTACAAGTTTGTACAAGTGTGTACAAGTTTGTAAAAGGTTGTACAAGTGTGTACAAGGTTGTACAAGTGTGTACAAGGTTGTATCATAGTGTACAAGGTTGTACAAGTGTGTACAAAGGTGTACAAGTGTGTACAAGTGTGTACAAGTTTGTACAAGGTTGTACAAGTGTTTACAAGGGTGTACAAGTATGTACAAGAATGTTCAAGTGTGTACAAGGGTGTACAAATGTGTACAAGGATGTAAAAGTTTGTACAAGTGTGTACATGGTTGTACAAGGTTGTACAATTGTGTACAAGGTTGTACAAGTGTGTACAAGGGTGCACAAGTTTGTACAAGGGTGTACAAGTGTGTACAAGCTTGTACAAGTGTGTACAAGCTTGTACAAGTGTGTACAAGTGTGTACAAGTTTGTACAAGGTTGTACAAGTGTTTACAAGGGTGTACAAGTATGTACAAGAATGTTCAAGTTTGTACAAGTGTGTACAAGTTTGTAAAAGGTTGTACAAGTGTGTACAAGGGTGTACAAGTGTGTACAAGGGTGCACAAGTGTGTACAAGGGTGTACAATCGTGTACAAGCTTGTACAAGTGTGTACAAGGGTGTACAGGTTTGTACAAGGTTGTACAAGTGTGTACAAGGGTGTACAAATGTGTACAAGGATGTAAAAGTTTGTACAAGTGTGTACAAGTTTGTACAAGGTTGTACAAGTAAGTACAAGTTTGTACAAGAATGTACAAGTGTGTACAAGGTTTTACAATTGTGTAAAAGGTTGTACAAGTGTGTACAAGGTTGTACAAGTGTGTACAAGGTTGTACAAGTGTGTACAAGCTTGTACAAGTGTGTACAAGGTTGTACAAGTGTGTACAAGGTTGTACAAGTGTGTACAAGCTTGTACAAGTGTGTACAAGGTTGTACAAGTGTGTACAAGGTTGTACAAGTGTGTACAAGGTTGTACAAGTGTGTACAAGTTTGTTCAAGTGTGTACAAGTTTGTACGAGGTTGTACAAATGTGTACAAGGGTGTACAAAAGTGTACAAGGGTGCACAAGTTTGTACAAGGGTGTGCAAGTGTGCACAAGTTTGTACAAGTGTGTACAAGCTTGTACAAGGGTTTACAGGTTTGTACAAGGTTGTACAAGTGTGTACAAGGGTGTACAAGTATGTACAAGAATGTACAAGTTTGTACAAGTGTGTACAAGGATGTACAAGTATGTACAAGCGTGTACAAGGTTGTACAAGTGTGTACAAGGTTGTACAAGTGTGTACAAGGTTGTACAAGTGTGTACAAGTTTGTTCAAGTGTGTACAAGTTTGTACAAGTTTGTAGAAATGTGTACAAGGGTGTACAAAAGTGTACAAGGGTGCACAAGTTTGTACAAGGGTGTACAAGTGTGTACAAGCTTGTACAAGTGTGTACAAGCTTGTACAAGGGTTTACAGGTTTGTACAAGGTTGTACAAGTGTGTACAAGGGTGTACAAGTATGTACAAGAATGTACAAGTTTGTACAAGTGTGTACAAGGGTGTACAAGTATGTACAAGAATGTACAAGTTTGTTCAAGTGTGTACAAGGATGTACAAATGTGTACAAGGATGTAAAAGTTTGTACAAGTGTGTAAAAGTTTGTACAAGGTTGTACAAGGTTGTACAAGTGTGTACAAGGTTGTACAAGTGTGTACAAGGTTGTACAAGTGTGTACAAGGTTGTACAAGTGTGTACAAGGTTGTACAAGTGTGTACAAGGTTGTACAAGTGTGTACAAGGGTGCACAAGTGTGTACAAGGGTGTACAATCGTGTACAAGCTTGTACAATCGTGTACATGCTTGTTTCAAGTTTGTACAAGGGTTTACAGGTTTGTACAAGGTTGTACAAGTGTGTACAAGGGTGTACAAGTATGTACAAGAATGTACAAGTTTGTACAAGTGTGTACAAGGTTGTACAAGTGTGTACAAGTTTGTACAAGTGTGTACAAGTTTGTACAAGGTTGTACAAATGTGTACAAGGGTGTACAAAAGTGTACAAGGGTGCACAAGTTTGTACAAGGGTGTACAAGTGTGTACAAGGGTGTACAGGTTTGTACAAGGTTGTACAAGTGTTTACAAGGTTGTACAAGTGTTTACAAGGTTGTACAAGTGTGTACAAGGTTGCACAAGTGTGTACAAGAGTGTACAATCGTGTACAAGCTTGTACAAGTGTGTACAAGGGTG